TTAAAAAATATATTTTGACAATGTTGGCAATCAGGCTCATTCACTTAAACGTTATGTGACAAATTCCTTTTTTTTTAATAAAAACAATAAACCACTTTGAAATAGTGTCATCCGTGTGTTATAAGTGCGCCTGATGCAGAAAATGGTTGCAACGCTGTTCTCAAATACTTGAAGATATTTCTTGCATTTAAAGGTCACTTTTTGTAGACATAATAAGAATTGACTATTATGTATAAGTTAATTTTTTATCAGTGAGCACAATTTTACTTAATAGCTTTGAATTTTTTTGGACCTACTATAATGACTAGTATTTTCATTCACGTGTGCTTTGCATAAGGGACGTAGTTATTCAATTGTCTCATCAAATATCAGTTTATTCCAGGAAATACATTAAATGTGACGCGCATAACCATGAAATTTTATTAATCTGTTTGCTTTGATTTTTTGCGTTAGTATTCTCTTTCCTGAAATTTTGCTTTTGTGCACATCTCCGAAAAGGTGCAGTTTCGAAACTTTTAACTATCTTTTTTTGCTTCCTTTTTTCGTCGTCTTTGAGTCAAGACTGCAACAAAAAAAATTAAAGTGCGTACATAAGTCTCCATTTTAGCAATTCAGTTGCAAACACCAGTTTTCTGGTCTCATTCTGAAGATTTATCTGCATAAAATTATGTTCATATATTAAATTCCACAGGTTTAGAAAAGTTGGCTTAAAAATAGGGGTCGAACGGACATTTAGACAATGTCGATCTAAAATGTCCTTCTGGAATATTTACTGTCCGTTTATTAGTAACAACGTTTGAATCGGGATTATCACTTATAATTGAAAAGAACATGAATTTGCTAGTGGTTGCGGAAGTCTCAAATACGTTGATAATTTTTGTGAAAAAAATATTTCTTTCATTTTTTTTACAAATGCGAATTAGCCTCTAAAATAATTAACAGTAGCTCTAGGTAGTTAGGAAGGCCTCGAGGAGTCCCAGATCACTCATAATTTTGCTTGAATGCTCAGAATGCACTCGATAAATGCAATTCCCAATCGGCTTTTTCATGGTCACAGAGCTTTTGTACTTTTCATATCGAACCTAAAGGAGTTAACCAGCATTCAGCACTGTACACAGACCCACCTAATTTGATTGTTAAGTGCAGCTTTCATGACAATGGCACCGATATTACAGAATAAAAACTTCTGATTATCAATGCACTGGCACCGTTTTTTTGTGCCAAAATCAGGTTTAAATGTTAATCAACGCCACTAGCAAATTACTTCAATGAATTAAGAAGAAAATGATTAATATGCCTCTCAACCATTTAAACAAGTTATGCCATTTTAGCAAAGTCCATTTTAATTTAAAAATATATGGTACATTGGTAACATTTAGCCTAAGTCATTTGGAATCCTCAACGCCATGTCTAGGAATGGCAAGCATGAAGACACGCAAAGTACCATATTAGTCAGCATAGTGATATTAGTCCCTGTCATTCACATCCAGTTCTCTGGCACTTTGCATCCATTAGGATTTCTGATTTCTACATATGATATTCAAAACGCTTAAAGTAAAACGAGCAGTTAATTATTCCTCATTTAAGTTGCTTAACCGCTTGTTCGAGACTAAATCTGTAACCTCTGACATATTTTTCGGAATAAATCTTTGTTTTACTCGATTTCTTACTACAAGACACATGCAATCAGCTCACTCGACGACTTTTGCTCGTGTAAATGCGATGCAAGGTGAACGCACCTTTGCATTTTTGGGAATTTAAATAATTATGGTAGCATGTAAACGGTTTCCTAAAGTCCTCCTGCCGGTGCGGATTCGTTGTATTCATAGGAGAAAAAGCGGAGTTGTAGTTAAGGAAATTTGTTTGCTAAATCATAATATTTTATTCACCTTGGTAATTAAAGATAACCACTTAAGCACTAAAGCGTGAACAGAAAGCAATCCATTATTTTAAACTAGGAAAAAGTATGCCTGTGATTTGTGCATTAAGGATTGATTTCGTTTAACAAGAATAAAAAATGAATGAATACTGTGATATATTTCCATCTGATTTCAAAAATTGCTGATTTATGTGAGTGACCTTGAACACATTTTTTTCTTGAACAATAAAAAATTCTAAATAAGAAAATTGTTAATATTGACGTTTCAGCGCAATTAAATACAACATTATTTTTGTATAGATTGTTTTCATGATTATCATTACAGTGATTACATTAGCTTATGTCTCGATTGTAAAGCATATGTGACACGTGGCGCATTACATTACTTAGCCAAAAAAAGCCCAGGCTTGAGTCACAAGACTAAAAACTTGCTCTAATTATCTAGTATACGGTTTTGAAAATAGACTCCTCGGTCTTGTTTATTTCCTAAAGTATCAATTTGCAGTAATTGAGCAAAACTCCGACAGGTGGCGCCGTCATGTTTCAAAACCATATGCACGGGCCCTTAACACTATGAATAATATAACAATCCTAAAGTTTAAAGTGACGCCTTTTCGTAAACAAATTTTGCTCGTCCTCAGAAATTCTGCTAACACATGGTGATCATGTTCATTCTGATCAGTCATCCAGTTTTTTCAAAAGAACGTGAATTTTCGCATTAAAATTTGAAAATTTTGAAGACGTTTAATAGTAAAGAGATAATCTTTTTAACCAAAAAATGATTTTCTCTTTTTTTCCAAAACATAATGTTTGCATTTCGTTTTATAACAAGGGAAATAATTAACAATAATAATACATTTGCTGTTTAATATGCTTAATAAAACCAAATCTAAAAATGATTCAGCAAGCCTTTAGTGATTTTGTTTGCTATTGAAAAAATCGTCAGCATGGGATTTTGTTGCATTATGTTTAAAGTCTTTTTGACTTTCTAAAACGTTTAAACATAATGTTTGAGCCAATTAATAAACACATAAAATATACAGGAGAGAAACGCGATAAAGCTTTAACATTACAGTTCGAATGCATATGGTATCAAATGAATTACTAATATTTCCGTTCTTCTTCAGGGATACACACTTGCTATCAAAAGAGGGGATTTATGGTTGTGATTCCTTACGCTAAATTATTATAATCCAATGAAAGGAGTCTTTCATGTTGAAAATGATCTCCCTTTTGAAATCTAGGGTCAGGAAGATTAATTAAAAATTATGATTAAAATAAATCGACGAACTTTGGACAGACTGCATCTATGTAGATTTAAAATATATTAACAGGATTTCGTTATTCTTCTGCAATGCATCGGGTAAACGTCGATTAAAATGTATACGAATTAATAACCTGGGCACCGAACAGCTCTTTTCAGCTTGTCTTTAATATAAATTATGTGACGCAAAAAGTTTGTTGATCGATTGTTAATAATTTTGCATTTTTCATGACTTGACGGATGAGTAAAAATACGCATTGCCCATACGTTTCCTTGTAACACAATAAATGCTGTGAATACTACAATTCGAAAAAAATTTTATTTTAGATTAAGTACTCTGTTGGCTGCTCGCGCTATCGCACTCTATGCTGTTGTCAAAGTGGAATTACCGCTGTAGAAAGTTGAACGCTTTTTCGACTAATTCCATTCCTCAAATTTATGTCGAATTTCTGGAAGCTCAACAAACGTTGAAGATAAGCTTTAAACTAAAACGATAAAACACTTTACAAAACGAGTCTCTTCATTAAATAGAAGCAAAAGTTTTATTCATGTGGCCTCAAATTATTATTTAGTTCATGCGTTGCCATAACGTTATACTGATAATGGTTGCCTCGAAGTTCATTTCGTTCTAATTGGTCTGAAGAAGTACGTCATTAAAGGGCGGGTCCATTAAAATGATTCCTGAGGGTTTGGCGGTGTTTACTTTGGGATTAAATATCACGGCAAATATATATGCCAGGCGTCCATTTTATGCCAGTAAGCCATAATTAATGCAAGTCTAAGCAATTTAGAGCTTTATAGGACAATCCCATCTGTTGCTTTTATGTATGGTGTGGGTTGTGCTATAGACTACTTTTCGATTCGTCGCAAGAGAACTAGACTTTTGGCGATCGAGCACTATAAGTCAATGTTCCCAGAACGAGTGCCGACTAAAGGTATAGTCATCGTCCTTATTTTTTATCTAAATCAATTTAAACCTATTCTGTTGTTTGTGCCTCAAAAAATTAGTGAAATGCTGACTATCGGATTCAAAGTAAACGTTAGTTAGAGCTCCATTTATATATTCATTCCCTAGCGGTGGTTGTGTCGATATTTCAAAGTGCATTCAAATCGAATTTTTTCGACATTTGTACTGTATCAAACTCCAGTAAGAGAAGTCTTGGACCGCCTAGGAATGCGCTCTTTAAATGCTGCAGAGGACTTACCCTCGTAGAAAGTAATCTGTCCTTCTTGAAGTTTCGTAAGGCTTGTAGCTTTTACTTTAGTTCAGTCTTAAAGATGAATTCTTTGTCAAACCTTGGTTAGTTTCTAAAACGTTACTTCCTTGCGCAGCTAGGCTGGGTAGCCACCAAACAGTACGACTACTACAAGTTGATTTGTGAACTGTACAATCGCAAAACAGGCGTCTAAGCCGCCAATTTCAAGTTTGCAAATGCGTTTCCTCTCTTCTGTTTCCGGTAATTAGCCTGTCAGCTTTCTTCAATGGTATTTTGATTATTTGCTAACCAGCATGTTTCAATCCAACCGGATAAATCTTAAATCAGTGGTCGTCTCCACCGCACCCTACCTTTTTTCTTTTTTGTGTAGTGGAAACCGTGTATGCGGACGTCATTCAGCCATGGTCCCCTCATCGATAATCTTCGAATGAAAAGACTGCTAGGATTCGTTGTAAGGTTTAGCAAATCTTTAGTAAACTCTATATAAAGTCAGTCTTGTTTCATTTACACAGTTTCTGAATTGTTCAAGCAGGGCAGGGTCCACTTATACAGCGTATTACACCATTGGCTTGATCTTTATTAGAACAACAATGCAAACTACACGGCCTCTGCTGGGACCGTACCAAAAGCGGTTGACGCTTTACTCCCATGGCGGAAGTGGAAAGTGTCGCTCAAGCAGCGCATTTGCTCGTACCCACACAGCACGGACGACTTCTGGCTTGAAGATGACTTCTGCTAGCGGGAGTGAAACGCATCCACTGAAGTAGAAGTTGTCGCTCGCAGAATCATTCACACTGCGGTGTCCACAAGCGCCAGGATGTACAGAACAATAAGCGATTGTAGCAGCAGCGCACTCCTAAAGAATAGATGTCAGTGTTGATTATAAGAACCACTGAAATGATTATGGAGGCTGGGAACAGAACTTTGTTAATTCATCTCTAACAGTGCATCTATGTAAGTTTGTTGTCGGAGACTAAAAAACGTCACCAACCATGTTTTTCGAAATGGGATAAGCTAGAAACTGCAGAATTTTTAGCCACCACCAACATGTCCAGCTGGCGCGGGAGATGATTCTGCTGTTCCAGATCAGATTCCCAGGGGAGCAGACATAGATATGCGGGGCCCGTCTCTTACGACACAACTGGTACTGTCGGAGGGCTTTCGCAAATAGAATTTGGAGGTGTTTTGTGTTGGCATAAAGCTGAACTCTACCCAATGTGGTAGAGGACGCAAGCCCGTTTGATTCCAGCGCCTCATAAAAATCTTCGGCCTCAATTATGCTTGACGCTCTACATAAATAAATCGGTTAAATCGGGCTTTGAAACGCACCGGTAAGCCTCGCAGGAGACAAAGGTAATTGTTGATTGTGGCGCCTGACAAAGGCGCTGGTGCAAAAGCCGTGCCAGAAGGACCTGCGCCATGAAATTGACTTGTAAGGTGCTATTAAAACCGCCTGCGCATTCGATGGCGTCCCCAGATTCGGGGACCGTCGCAGCCAATAGGACAAGAGAGTCAAGTGGCCAGGATGACGATATGTATGTCTACAAGGCAGTCTGACTGTACGTAAGATAGGCTCACTTTGGCAAATGCGACAACCGATTTGAGTTGAGTTAAGTCCACAGATGCCCAAAAAGGGGAACGGGCTGAGGAGGGAACGCAACCCGGACCGGGGAAAGGCTGCCAGTCAGTGGTGGGTGGGTTTCGTGATAGGCATGTTACGATTGCACCTCGAGATGTCAAGGCTTTTGCAAGATACCACCCGACACCTCCTGTTCCGCCAAGCAAAACTACATGTTTTCCTGATACATCACAATCGTCTAGCACCTGACAAAGAGAAATTCATCAGGGAAACGTCGTCCAATTAGGGTACCTCGGTCACAGTGGAAAACTGGTCAAATTTGGGACGTGTAATGGGGCGGCCGTTAGGCGTTCTTTTGAAGGGCAGAGCAAGACGTGGGTCAGTATAGGTTTTAGCTCCAGTTTCTTTGCTAAAAATCATAACGTTTAAAGACAAACGTGGATGTGGTGCGGCAAAGGCTAAGCAGTGCAGGTTAAAAGGTACGTTCAAGCGAATTGGGCGGAAATAAACAGCAGCAAATTGAAGAGACAGAATGAGGAGCGAACTTACTTTACGAACATACTTTCGCCTTTCGGTGTAGTGGTTTTAACCCACATCTTTGGCATCTCAGACAGAAATCGCCGCACGTTTGACAGTGGGTGGCGATTTACAATTATCCCAGTTTTTCTACTTCGAAAGAATTGACTTTTGGTGGTGCACTTACTTCCTATAAGCCACGCAATTTTCATCATTCACTTCTGTCTGCCAGTCTGAAGGAAGAAAGCTGTCATAGTCCGACTCACTCATCCGATCTTAACGGCAATGATTGCAAAAATAGACTAGACATATAGTCACTTCAAATTATCATTGTCATGCACCGAGGACCGAAATTGTCTACAAAAGAGGCAATCCAAAATTCAGGTACTTTTTATGGTAACTAAACAGCTTGTAATCTCGAGAATTTGCAAAATTATCGGATTTGGAAAGTTGACCTTTGGGCTCAGGTAACAAGTGACGAAAGAAATCCGAGTGTTGCAGCTCTTCTAATCAAGTGTTTCACATGCAATTGAACTGGGACCGTATTTGGTTGGGATCTGGACACAGCGGAAACACTATGCTAAGAGCATGTCCGGCTAAACCGCTATGAAAATGTACGCGCGAATATATTAAATTAATCCACAATCTGATAGCAAATAATCACCGAGGCATACCCGGAATGAATGTGTGCATTGTAGTCAGTCGAAGTTACCGTAAACTGAACAAAATCAACTGCACTCAGCGATTTATCGGTGTTAGTTGCAGGGCTATGCTTTATTTTTCACCTAAGTCTTGCCAAAGTGTTGCAAATTATCGGTAAAACGAAAACATGAATGGGGTTGGATACTCAAAGAAGTTCTTGATGTTAAGATTGGTCAATAAAGCCTTGTCTGTTATACCAGTCTTCTTCCTATTAGGGATAGGGTATTCTAAAACTTCAAAGGTGGTGTTGTGAGGTGTGGTGTGGCGTCGGATTAGGGCGCAGACATGTTGGACCACCTGGCCTCAGCCAATCCTGTGTCTCTCTGTAATCCAATGGCATGCGGGAAAGGAAGGCAGCCAACCAGAGA